TAAGGGTCCAAGTGCCTGATAATCATATACTCTTCTGAATACTAACCTACGAAACTACTCTCCGTATCCCAAGTACATGATTATTGGGTCCTTTGGACCCTTAGGGTAAGCCCTAAGCCGCCCTAAACCCTAAAGCCTACAGGGTAGGTCTCATGTTGGGGGCAGTCGGGCTGTTAGGTCCTCAGGTTGAGCCAAGGCTCATCAGCTCTATCACAGAGCTATAAAAGGGTTTGGGATTTAGGGTTTGGGGGTTTAGCCCTAAACCCTAAACCCTAAACCCCAAACCCCTAAACCCTAAACCCTAAACCATTTAGGGTTTAGGCCTTCTTGGGCTTATAGTAATAAGCTTTAGTGCCTTCAGGTCGAAGGTTTAGGGGTCCAGGGTTGAGAGCTTAGGGTTTAGGGTTAGGGGTTTAGGGGTTTGGGGTTCAGGGTTTAGGGTTTAGGGGTCCAGGGTTGAGGGCTTAGCGTTTAGGGTTTAGGGGTCCAGGATTGAGGGCTTGTATACAGGTTTTGCCTGGGTTCAGAAGCTTTGTATCTATTAATCTACCCAATGCTAGAGCCTACACCCTAAAACAAAACCAGACCCTGGAGCAAGATTCTGGGAGCTTCAGAAGGGATCAAGAGTAAGATGCTGAAACAAATGCGTCTCAGTTGTCCCCTGTAGACCCTTGGAGAGCGCTAGGGGATTGCGAGACCCCTAAACCCCTCAACCCCGCCTTGTAAAAGGACAGCGTTTGATCCCAGCATCCAACGACCAGCACATCTGTCGGGTCTTGCTTGGTCTGCACGGGATTCCACCTTCGGATGTTTCAGCGAACTATACTGGACTATAACAATGGGCTTGGAATATAGTAAAACATGGTACAGTACACTCTGATCTACTGTAGAATCGTTCACCTTGGTATGAGCCCTGCTGACAGAAGCCACAAAGTAAGTCCTTGCAGCCACCCAGAAAAGAGCCAAGTTGAGTATACGGTCAAGAACCACAACACATATATATATATATATATATGTGTGGTATATACATATATGTTTATGTATATATATATATATACATACCTGATTGAACTTCTCACTTCATATCCTAAGTCTAGAACTTATAGAGAATCTACACAAAAAAATGTTTTGGTAGTTCATTGGGATTCTTGGGGTCACTTGGGGAGAGCGCAGAACATACGCTGACGCTACTATGTCAAGTTTTGGGTGAATACGAAGGGTTGGGTTAATGTAGGGGCCTTAATCATTAGAATAGGGTTTTGGGACCCATTATACCTTGGTTGTAATAATAAGGAACCCCCAAAATAGTATAGGTAACTATTAAGGCTCCTATAAACCCTAAAAGCCCTAAACCGCTAA